ATTCATGCTAATAGTATTATGAGTATCAGCGCTGACGAGGGTTGGTCAGAATATGACGAGGAGGACGAGGAAGAGTATATATGATAGAGATAACATTGACGACGATCTGTCTGCAGACGAAGTTAATAAGGAAGACACTTTACATCCAGATATTACAAAGAATCTGCTTGACTGGAATGAGGCATTTCTTTATGTATACATATGATATGTAGCATTGTAAGTTAATTAATCATGTGAAGTGTTTGATGATATTGGAAAACTTTCCTAAATAATGCTTTTCTTTTCTTTATTTTTTAGGCTTTCTGCAAGCCACAAGTTTTGTCTTTTGTATTAACACTGGTAATAGAACGGGCACGGAACACGTGGAATGCAAAAATGCTCTTTAGTTTTCATCGTTTTCCTTTTCTTTTTTGGTTAATTATTTCATAATGTTATATACATATTGTTATTTATTTGAATATTAATATTAATTCCAATCAAATACATGTATCGTTCAAAGGGTCGCCGAGTGGTAAAATTGGGTGTGTTATCAGAACATCTACAGAAAGGATGCAAGAAATGTGGGGCTGTATTACACATTGGGATTGTATTTAAGAGAGGCATTATGGCTTTGGAAGTATTTTGTACATAAAAGTTAATGTCAAATTCATCTTCATCAAAATAAAAATTAACGCTTATAATAACAATACCTTAGCTTGTAAGTATTCATCATGTTTCTTATGAAATATTTCATTAGTTTTGTAGTGTACCATATGCAGTTACATTTCAAACATTCCCACAGGAAAACGACATGGAAAAAAATTTAGGAAGTGAACACAAAGCTTGGTGCAGGTAATTTCAGAAAACTTTGCAATTTGAACATTTTATGCAGCATATTTGATAGTGAATAATACATGTATTTTATTTTCACCATTCTTGTCTTGTAGATATTGCCAATAGTGCAATAGGGTTTTCTGTTTTACAAACGTAATTTGCTTCATTGAATATCCCTGGTGTAACAGCTGGAACAGTCAAGACAAGAGACAGAGAAGCAGGAAAGGCCATCGAATCTGTTGCCCAAAAAAGTTGCAATGATGCTCTTGATGAAGAAATAAAAATGAAAGATGGGTAATTTTAAAAAAAAATTAGTTTTATGAAAAATATATGTCAAGGTTCACAATCTCAATCCATATTTTCTTTCAAATTCTTCTGTGAAAGTGTAATTCTTTTTATCATATATTTTTAGAAAAGTTGAAATAAGAGTTGCAGCTGATGCTAGATGGCAAACTAGATCTAGGGGATGAAATACAACAGCTATTCAGGTATGCGTTCAAGAAGAAACATATTTTTCAAAATTTCTTTTTGTGAAAGAAAACTTATTTACGAGGTGACTTATGAATATATCTCTATTTTGATAAACCACAAGTCACAGTGTACTAATAGGTGATAAATCTGGGAAGATATTGCGATATGATTATAGATGCAGTAAATGCAGACTATTTGAAAATGGAAAAAGAAAAGGCATTCAGCCCATTGACCATGATTGCAGGTAAAATGTTGATAAGTATCAAATGTATAATGTTTAAAAAGAAATAAATAGTTAAAAAAAATCAGTGTCAGTAAATGGTGAAGGTTATTGCAAATCAATGTAATATTTATCTTTTTATACCCCCGCTCCGAAGGAGAGGGGGTATACTTTTTTACCCTTGTGTTTCTGTCTGTCTGTGTGTCTGTCCATAAATTTTTTTTTGCGCAACTACTCATTGCAGATGCTTGAAATTTTAGCACATTCTTTGTTTAGGCATGCCATATGGTGGGAATTATTTTTGTACGAATCTGATGTCAATTTCCTGTTTATCTGTACGTCTGTCTGTACCATACGTAACAAATTTTTGTCGCAGTAACTACTCTGTGCAGATGCATGAAAGTTTACACACTCTTTGTTTAGGCAAGCAATATGGTATGTTTCATTTCTGTTTGAATCTGATGTCAACTTCCTGATTATCCGTATGTCTGTCTGTAACTGAACTAGTGTGTATTCACATGATAGTGTATATTCACATCAAAGCAGGGGTATTACTAGTGAGCATTGGCTCACAGACGTCTTGTTTCTGCATGCTTATTTTTATTTTTTACTTTACAGGACGAAAAGCTATGGACCCTTACATGATTGAAGGCATGTTTAAAGACTTGGAAAAAGAGAATATTCATCCTCATGAATTAGTAATGAATGATGATAGTACCACCATTTCACGTGCAAGGAAAGAATGTGATCAACTATTACAAAATTCAGTGACAGAAACCACCTAAAGAAAACATTTACAAATAAACTATATGATTTGCTAAGAGTAATAAAGTATCAACAACTGAGAGGAAAAACCATAACACATCTTAAGAAATGTTTATCTTATGTTCTTGCCTAGCACCAGAAAAAAAACTGAAGGGTTTTAAAAAAATCTTTATTGTGTATTATTCCTCATATGTATGGAGACCATCGGACATGCCCTTCATGGTGTAAATATAAGTAAAATCCTGCAAATTGCATTCCACGGAATCTTCTATACAACAGGTATCTAACATGCCTATAGAGTTGAAAAAGGGTTTGGAAACAATTATTCAGACGTATGCTCAACAAGCTGAAAAACTATCTGATCTTGGATCCACACAAGCGTGCGAAAGTTTTAATCACATTGTTGCCTCAAAACATTCAAAGAACCTCTTCCTGTCAGGATCAAAAAGTACAAGTTTCAGAATTGCTGCAGCTGTTGCACAGAAAAACATTGGAAAGTCTTATATATAGTCTTATATGAATATGTCACCTGGAGCCTATACTGAAAAGGCGGTTGAAGAGATGGACAGAAAGAGAAAGTTACAGAAGATTAGACAGAAGAGTGCAGAGTACAAGAAAAGGAGATGTGAAGTTAGGAAATCCTCAAGTCAAGATCAGGATAGTAAAGAAGTGCGTGAAGGAAAAACGTATGAAACTCAGTTGGACTAGAGGAAATGGATGAGGATCAGGACATCAATTCCATTCCAAGTGCCACTGTTGGATCAGAGAGAATACCACTAACAAATACTGATTACACACTTGTCTACTTTGACCTAGAAACAACAGGTTTAGGTAAATTTTTACACAATGCAGAAAGGTTATACATACATTTCCATGAGACCTTATATATATATATATTTCAAGATACATTGTTTAGATATGTTTTACAGGTTCATCATCAGAAATATTGGTAATAGGAGCTGCAAGAGGACATGACATCTTTCAGAAGTACATAAAACCCAATGGTACTTAATCTGAAAAAGCAACTTGTGTGACTGGTCTACATATGAAAAACAATGAACTACTACAGAAATCAAAAACTTACAACAGCACACTTGAAATCAGCACTCCAAACGTTTTCAGAGTGGCTATCGGACACAAATTCTAACATTCTTGTCAGCCACAATGGATTCCGGTTTGACTTTCCACTATTTATGCAAAGCATTACATCACAAAATATTGTGATGAATACATGTGTTGCCGGTTTTATGGACACTTTGGAGGTTTTTTAAAATTCTAATGTAAAGAAACAAACTGACAGCTTTTCTCAGGAGTCTCTTCTGAGAGAAGCAGGAATCCAATCGACAGGAGTTTCTCATTGTGCCCTAACGGATGCTTTGGACCTACAAAATTTAGTGAATTTTCATAGCATTCCTTTCAACACTCTGTTGAGGCAAAGTGCAATTTACAGCATCAAAAGTTTTCTTTAGTAAAGAATGACAATTTGAAATCTCTTGAAGTCTTAGTTCAGGGAAAGTTATTACAGAATTCATGGCTAATAAAATTGCAAAATCAGGTTTGAATATGAAATATATTAAATTAGCACACACAAGAAATGGTGAAGATGGAGTAAAAAACTTGTTTCAAGAAATTGTCAATGGAAAAGCAAGAGTTACAAAATGTAAGAAAATAATCAACTCAGTGGTCAATTATTTATCTAGTCAGTTGTAAAGAGTTACTTCCCTTTGTTTTTCATAATTGTAAATATATTATTTCATTTTTTTAAAATCTCTCTTATATACCTGGCTCCACCATGTAAGATATGAATTTCTGTACACAAAATGGCCAAACCTTTGTTTTTATTTTTAGAAATTTCAGAAATTTCATATTTAAAAACGATATGTGTGATTATCATTACATTTTTCATAATCTGTTGTATAAAATGTCAAATATTTCTGAATTTGTTGTCATTCTTTGTGTTTATTATTTTTTTTATAGGGTGATTGATGTAACCCTGGACTAAGACTTTGATAGATCTCAAAGTAATTTAAATATCTAATAAATAAACCTTTCTTCACTTTCATACATATTTCCTTATTTTTGTCATTTTTTTTTCTTAAAAAAAGGTGGCATACTTGTACGAAAATACTTTTAAAAAATTGTAAGTGCACTAAGTTATAGTATATATTTCTCTAAAGTCTTTAATTTTCCCGACTGTTGCTGTTCAGAGCTTCCTTAAGGTAACAATATATTTAAAAGAATGAGTGGAATGAAAATAACTCGTAAGTTCGCTATAAGCATCATTTCATTATAAGTGTGTTCGGTATAAGCGCGTTCTACTTTATCAAGTCTCATTCCATTTCAAAACGTATATTTTCAAATATTCAATGAAGAAAATTCTTTCAATATTGAATATTTTTTATGACATTTGATAAACAGAAAGTACAATTCGCCGAAATGCAAGATCGATAATTTAAATATCTCCTGTGCACAAAAAAGCAATTCTTTTCTATTTTTCAAAAATCGTTTAAATCGCCCAAAGAACGCGATGAATTGGGTTATTTTTTTCTACAGAATGACGATATCTTTTGATCTGCTGACATGACAGGTTAAATTGCTGCTATATGTTGACATTTGAGACAATATCTCACGAAGCTCAACATTGTCCTTGAGATTTATTTCAACATTTTTTCTAAGTGGTAACGGAACACACAACATATATCCTTCTGTTTTCCTTTTCTTTCCAAAAATCAAATATCGAGAAAGGCGCTGGAGGAGACTGGATTTGTTTTTGTGGAGGATAGCCTCGCTCCTTTAGGTCGGGATTCAATAGAACAATGTTGGAGGTGAACTCATTAACAGGAAGGCGTGGTGGGGAGGTAAAATATCATTTTGTTGTATATTAAGGATTCGAAGACTTATGTTGGAATTTTAGAGAATCAGAGAGAAAATAATGTTAAGAATAAATTATGCATTTTTTTTACTGCATGTGAAAATAAGCATTATCAACTGAGAAGTAACTTTAAATACTCTATTATAGAAAGAAACAAATCATTTTCTGATTTGTTTATTTTTTTTTAATGGTTTCCATGTTATTTTTTTAAGCATTTCATAATAGTAATTCAATTTAATTCTCCATTTTTCAAGGTATATGAAGTACAAAGTTCGTGGGAAAACATCAGAGAAAATGTGGACAGTACACCTACCATGGTGTTTTCTGTGATTGGAGATTCAGACAGTTTCGTCCCTAAACCGTGGGCTAAAACTGTCTTTCAAACTGCTTTAATTGAAGCGGCTAAAAGCGGGGGAGGTAACTATTTTGATATTGTGTGATACATTTTTTTTTAATTTTTATCTTTGTGTTTTGGCAAAAAAAAAAAAAAAAAAAAAAAAAAAAAAAACTCTGCTATATATATATTGGGTTTACCAAAAATAAATACCATATTATAAAAGTCTTTTCTAAATTAAAGAACGTTATAATAGTATAACCAACAGCATTAAGTCTAGATGCAACGCGTTTTTGTACTACTTAGATCTTAAATTTAGAAGTACTTAACGCATAAAAATGTAGGTTGTGTGAACTGCTAAATGAATGATATTCTGTGTTTCCTAAATCACGCCTTGTGCACAAGAAATGTGCATGAGTATACAAATGCACTGATAAATGCGTGTTTGGTAAACTGCTTCATATTTGCATACCCATGACAAATATCTATTCCTTACAAGTATGAAAATTAAAATTTTACACAAATGGGAATCGTGGATTCATTATAATACGTTTTTTTTTTTTAAATGCTTAATTAAAGAATATCCAAGTGTGTGTAGAATTGTACTTAGATTGAATTTGCAGACAGGTTTGGATTCAAAATTTTATAATATAAAAGCACACATACCATCAAAAATTCCATTTTTTTTTTAAAATATTTGTTGAAAGACATTGTTCACTGAGGTTTTTAAATGGTTGAGTAAACACGTGAAGCTATACAAGGATAAATGTAGCTAGATATTCACGAGGCAAAACGATTCTCTGATGAAAGACAGTCATGATTCATACCTTTTAAATTCGTTTATACATGTGTAATAAGCTGTCAGGTATAAGGAAAATCGACTGAAAACAAGCAGACAAGGTTATTTATTTTGCAGTTTCTTTAAAGTCTTTGTTTGTTCATGCGCAATCAATCCTTGGAACGGATAATCTAAGAGTTCTTTAAAAAAAATCTAAATATTTAAATGCCTCAATACATATGCCGCAATGTATTTTTATTTTCAAGATCGTTTTTAATTTTTCATGATTTCAATGAGATTCATTTTGGTCACAAATGTTTTCGGTATAACTATTTTGATTTTTGTTACCATTAATTTAAAAACTGAAGTCGGACAATTTATCCTAACAATCTCTCAAATGTTGCTTTATTTCGTTCAAATTAAAGAAGGCTAATGTTAACCACTGTGTTCATCAAGAAATTATAAATTATGAAGAAAAATTAAAAAAAAAAATAATGACTGCAACTCCACAACTCAATGTTTTGGAGAGTTTAAAATATAATTTTCATCCCATATAACGCTAAGCGGCATGTCTACCTGCAGTTAAATATGATACCAATATCCTCGGAATGTTATTAAATAGCGTAAATGGAGAAAAACAGATTGTCTCTTAATCATTGAACGAACTAATAATTTGGGGTTTGTTTTGATTTTTTTTTTGGTATGTCACAATACTTTCAAATTTAACACAGGCATTGGTAGGCTAAAGATCCCTCACTACTCAATTGCCTGAGTGCCCATTAAATATGAGTTTTAAATGAAGTCTTTACTCGTGACGTCTCTATATGAGTGAAAAATTCTAGAATCAATAGCATACTATGGTTTGATAGCCACGCAGGGTTAAATTGATTATTGTTAGACCTTTATAAATCGTTTCCTTTATAAATCGATGTTTTCCTGACCTGTTCCCAAAATAATCGACATTGGACCTGTCGATAAGATACTGCACCGATGTGACGGTTTTACATCACATTGTTTGCCAGAAAATATTATCGCAAACAAGTTTTTTGCAGAAAGGAAACCAAAAAACCAAGCAATTTTATCAATATGAAAGTTAAAGTATTGCTAATTATCTCTGTTTACACAGGTGGATATTTAAGTATCCAACCGATAGGCAGTGGGGTATTTGAATATCCAACTGATGGCCAGTTGGATCGTTAAAAATCCAACTATTGATGATTGAATCGGTAAAATATACGTAGACTAATAACAATGGGTGACGTCATGGAATTTTTTTTTTAAATTAACAGATCACCCAGTGTCAACCCATTTTGACCCGTTTGATATTATAATCACTTAACGTAACATTCCGCTATTCGATACGCTTTAATTGTGCCTGTCAATCGACTTCAGGGCTGCGTGTACACAGGGTGAAATTTGTATTATTATAAGATTTGTAAATACAAAATCTTACTGTGTATAGACTTAATTCAGTGTATCATTAGATTTTTCGAATCTTATCAAACTGCATTAAGAATAATGCTCTATTTTTAATACAATTCCCAATTTATCTTTGACTCATTCGTCCGGGCCGCGTGGCGCAGTGGTTAGAGCGTGTGCTCTAGAGTCGTGGAGTAAGGTGATGATCCTCACGTCGGGGGTTCGAATCCCACTGTGAGATGTGGATACCGTTCCTTCTTATGAGACCGTATAAACCAAGGTCCCGTATCGCAGTAAAAGATCCCTCATCACTACTCAATGGCCTTGAGTGCCGAGTATAGGTCAAAACTTGCAGCTCTCCATCGGCAAGTCGTGGCGTGTCCATATGAGTGAAAGATTCTCAAGAGGGACATTGAACAACAAACAACAAACAAACGTTTCACCTTAGAAATCAAACGTACTAACATCTTTTACTCTTCAGATTCAAATATACGTAATTAATTACAATTATCTGCTAAATAAGAGATATAATCCTTGATACAATGTTTTGAAATAATAAACAAACACTTCCATAGACAATTTTCCTAGGTCATTAATTTCCCGATAATGATTTTAAAATTAATATTCTACCCGAGATAATCAAGTAATTGATGCATTATTCTGAAATTGAGCCCTATACAACATCACAGGCTGATTCTATCGAAGATGTAATTCAATGATCAATAAAATTTATTTACACTCTCCACGTCATTTACATATATGAGGGTTTTCATTTCGCTGTCCTTCATTCTAGATCCGATCATATCATATCAAACTATTAAAAATACTTTTGTATTATACATTAATAATTTTTGTTTATTTCTTTTATACCTTACTCAAAAATGAAATAATTGAGAAGATCTATAAGATAGGAAAGTAGCGAAAGAAATCAGGGGATCGCTAGTAAATAAAACGGGGATAATTCCAGCACTGTTCTAATTAAACTTTACTACCTTTTCGTGAAATCTGAAAAAAACACCGAATATTCGAATCATAAATTCTTATTCGAATATTAACTCATCGAATGAATATTCGAATATTTGAATATTCGTTGATGTCCCTACTTTTTAATTTTAGTGCAGTGCATAGTGCGATAACAGATACAGCTAACAGAACCTCCTGAGAGAGAGAGAGAGAGAGAGAGAGTTATATAATACATCAGTATTATTATATTATACTTGTATTATACTACAGATCTCGCCGTGTGTTCCGATCTAAACAACTTCAAATTATAGAAGAATTTTGCGAAAATTTTATCAGGGTCTTAAAAGTTACCTTGTCTTTTTCACTTGATTGTGTTTTTCGTTTGGAGTGTTTTGAAGGAAATTCTGGTATTGCCATTGCAAATCAGGTGCACGATTAGTTGGTAGCTGTGCTCATGTCGCCTTCGTAATATGGTCTGCATCTACAGACACATCCCTAAACACTAATATCATACCTGACAATATTTGGATTGCCGAAATGAAAGAGATATTGAAGACATAAGCGAGTGATTATCGACATAGTTACGTTATAGAATTTTCGTTGACCATAGTTGTTGAATATCAAATACACTTGTTCCGTCAATAAAATGTTTGAATTACAGATAATTGTATTTCTAGGAATTTTCATGCTAACCCAATTTAACCCAAGCAACTCCAATTTTTAGTTAAATTTTTTATTTCATTTCCGAATGTTGTTTATCTATACATGCATATAATAAAATTTGTATCACCGTGAGTATTACATACATGTATACTTTGTTTCACTATACATGTTTGTATTACTACTGTATGTACATTGAAGTACGATTACATGTAGTGTGACATCGAAGTCATGTAAATGTGACACTCTTTGTTAAAACATGCATCATTCTTTGAATTGATAAGGATTCAACATACAAAATGAAAAATGAAGTGAAGAAAGGGGGGGGGGGGTTATACTTATATTTGATTGAGCTGATTCGGCAGCAAACATATGGATACGAATCATGAAAATGACTATGAATCATTTATTTTTTGTGAATCATTAAACTACACAATCTCTCTCCAACCATTCAAATTCATACCATAAAATCAATATGGAAATCATGTGCGAATGTCTATGCGGTTTAAATGTCTCCGCCATTTGCAAGTACTTTAAATTCGAAAGTGGTCCAGTTTAAATTTCCGGAATTTAAGGCTTATACATGTACATGTTCTTTTCAATGACGTTTTGTAGAATTATAGAAATATGTAAAAAAAAAAAAAAAACAAAAAAACAAAAACAAAAAAAAAAAAAAAAAACAAAAAAAAAACAAAAAAACTCGACGTATTAATATCAAGAGCATATGCATGCACAATAATCGTAGATTAATTCAGCAATATAGCCTAACTGGATGGCCTAAAAGGTTCCAAAGACACTCTAATGCGCACTCATTCTTTCTTCTCATATGAGTACTTCTTTATCAAAATCTTGTGCACTAGAATTGGTGATTTTTGTAATTTTCCATTTGCACAGTTTAGTTCAAATATATCAAAGATTCATATTTAGAGAAAAAAAATGACAAATTTACTTTTAAAGATGTAATCAAAATTTCAATAACGCCATTATTTTTTTATTGAAATTTTGATTACATCTTTAAAAGTAAATTTGTCATTTTTTTTCTCTAAATATGAATCTTTGATTCATGGTGTTATTTTATATTATTTATATCGCAATTATATTGCCAGAGAATGTACTTAAAATACAAGCATATTTTGTATATAATGTTTTGTAAGTATTGTATTTTTGCGCAAATAAATAGACAAAATTCTGAACATATATTTTGAAACACCAAGTATGGAAAAAACATTCATTGACTACTTAAGTTTTTTGGGCAAAATGCGTTTTGATAGGCTCGAAAATAACTCTTTGCATAAAGTCTAACAGTCTCAGGGAAGCAGTTCAGTTCTTGCGCCAGACAAAATAAACGTTGCTCCTGAACCCAGTCAATAAATAAATAATGTGCCCTGCCAGTTTTTACAAGTAAAATAATATTCTGAATTTAAAATTCGCACAGAGTCCTGGATTCTTTACCGGGGTCATAGTTACGGCGTTTCTGATATCATACGTGAAGCCTACAGAAACTATGGAGATATGGAGTTCGGAACAGACAGCAAGAATGTTATTCTCAAAGACAAAAGGCGACACATAAAACTAATAAGCATTGCTGGAAAAGAGGTTTGTCTTAACTTTAGTATATAAGATTTATCGGTTTATTTGATCAATCCCATATTCATCTTCCATTCGATGTTCTTGAATATGAATGCTTCATCATAAATTTATCACCTTTTACTGACTAAATTCTGTCTGTTATCATTCTATTTGTCTTTTAAATTGAGAGCGTGTTTGAATTTGTTGGAAGGGAAAATAATTATTATTACAACCACATATGAATGTGAAAAGAGAATATTTGTTATGCATTTGACTTTTAGAATGTGTTAGTTAATCATGATACTTGTTTTGGTTTTATGGTTAACGTATCGTTTTATCATATGTAGAAGATTTCTCATAGTGCTTGTTTTCTTCTTAAATGACTTTGAAATGTATAGTAACATATCTTATAATCATTTGTAGAAGATTTCTCATACAAAGTGTTGGTTTTGTGCTTAAACAACTTTAAAATGTATGTTAAAATATCTTATATTCATATAGAAGATATCTCGTAAAACGTGCTGGTTTTCCGCTAAAATTGCTCTGAAATGTATGTTTAACAATATGTTAAAATTATATATAAATTGCTGGTTTTCTGCTTAAATTACTTTAAAATGTATGCTAAACATTAGTTTCAATTTCACCTGATTGTGTGTATTTCAGTCGCCTGACGGAATGCAGGAGATGGAGACAGAAGATAAGACACCAGAGTATGGGATAAATTTCGACGCCGGGGAGGATTTCCTTATGGAGTTTGAGAAATATGTTTCGGAACAAGAAGTATCATTCTTCAGCCAAAAAATAGACTTCAGTAAGTCTTTAATTATAAGGATTATCCTAAGGGTATGTTCAAAAGATCAAATACAGATGTATGAGGCTTTAATTATTTTAATAATTTGAAATAAACACATTCTTCCTCAGAGATGCCTGTTCCAATTGCAATCATTGTTTGTGAGGGTGACATCGAAACTGTTGCACATACAGCAGGGGCACTGGAAAACAAACTACCTGTTATCATTATGAAAGGATCGGGGAAAGCTGCCGATTTAATTTTAGACTACCTAGAGAAGTATATATGAAAACTTAAATGTTTGAAACATGTATTTGAAGAATAATTTTAGAAGTGCTTTTAATAAAGAAATCAGCGTACTGGTTTATAAAGTTTCATTGTCATATACATATATTTTTTAAACGAATAACTATAAATACCTAGGAGAATGAGATTTTATTTGATTTTTGTTTATATTCAATTGAAACCTTTTTTAATAATTACCTTTTTTAGGTCACCTGAGTCACTCAGGTGACCTATTGCTATCCGTTCTCGTCCGTCGGCGTGCGTCGTGCGTTAACATTTGAACATTTTTAGCTTCTTCTCTGAAACCGCTTAACCAATTTCAACCAAATTTGGCATATAGCATCTATGGGTAAAGGGGAACAAAAATTGTGAATTTCATGGTCCCTGCCCCCCTGGGGCCTGAGGGGTGGGGCTAAAACCACCAAAAATAATGCAATCTTTAACAATCTTCTTCTTTACTCCTGGACATCAAGCAGTCAAACTGTTGGCATCATTGTAATAAGCATTGAGCCCTCTACCAAAATTGTGAAATTCATGGCCCCAGGGTCAGGGGTTCTGGCCCCAGGGTGGGGCTATATAGATCATATAGTGAAAGTGCATTATTTCTTTGAAAATCTTCTTCTCTGCTCCTGGGTATTAAATAAGGTAATTAAGTACATAGTTATGAAGAGCAAGAGTGCCTCTTCCAAAATTGTGAAATTCATGGCCCCAAGGTCAGGGGTTCTGGTGTTAGGGCGGGGCTCTATAGATTATATAGTGAAAATGCATTTATTCTTTGAAAATCTTCTACTCTGCTCCTGGGTATTAAATAAAGTAACTAAGTACATAGTTATGATGAGCAAGAGTGCCTCTTCCAAAATTGTGAAATTCATGGCCCCAGGGTCAGGGGTTCTGGTGTTAGGGCGGGGCTCTATCAACTATCTAGTGAAAATGCATTAATTCTTTGTAAATCTTCTCTGCTCCTGGGTATTAAATTAAGTAACTAAGTACATAGTTATGATGAGCAAGAGAGCCTCTTCCCACATTGTGAATTTCATGGCCCCAGGGTCAGGGGTTCTGGTGTTAGGGCGGGGCTCTATCGACTATATAGTGAAAATGCATTAATTCTTTGAAAATCTTCTCCTCTGCTCCTGGGCATTAAGGTGCATGGTTATGATGCATAAGGATGCCTTTTCAAAAATTGTGAACTTCATGGTCCCAGGGTCAGGGGTTCTGGTGTTAGGGTGGGGCTCTATTGATTATATAGTGAATATGCATTGATTCTATGAAAATCTTCTTCTTTGCTACTGGAGATTATTTAAACAAACTAAGTGCATGATTATGATAGGCAAGGATGCCTCTTCCAAAATTTTTAAATACATGGCCTCAGTTTTTGGGGTTCTTGAGGAGGGGGGGGGGGGGCTCTATTGATTTTATAGTGAAAATGCATTAATTCTATTAATTGATCATTAACTAATCCTGTCTGCTCCTTAGTGTTGAACTGATAAATAAATTGCTTAGCTATGATGAAGATGGGAGCTTCGAACAGAATTTTTAAATCTTGTGGTCCTAGGGTCAGGGGTTCTGGCATAACGAGGAAGGGGGGGGGGCTTTTGATAATATAGTGGAAAAGTGTTAATTCTTTGAAGTCCATAGTTATGATGATGAGGGTAACTCTTCCAAATTTGTAAATTTCTTGACCTTTGGTCTTGGGTTCTGGTGTTAGGGTAAGGCTTTGTTGAATCTATAGTGAAAATACATTGTACCTGTGAAATTCTTCTCTGCTTCTGGGCACATCGAAAGCAAACTGAGTAAAAGTTTAAATGATATAAGTAAGCGTATTTCTACCAGATTTTTGAACATCTGGACAATTTGTCTAAGCATTCTGGTCCTAGACAGGGCTCTATTAATTCGCATTCTACTGAGAGAAGTTATTCCCCTTTTCCATTCACCTTTGATAATTAATCACTGTAAATAATGTATTTGAAAGATTAATAGAATAAGATAATTATGCAAGAATGCTTATCGTATAATTCAAAAAGTACTTTCTTAGTTTTAATAATCAGGCAGACCTGTAAGTAATAGATAAATAAAAATGAGACAAAAATAACTTATCTTATTAAAAGTTCTTCAAAGACCATAAGAGAGGTCAATGCTAGAGGTCTTAATATGGGTTTAAAAATAGTACAGAAGCACTAATAGTTTGTTAATAGTCTGCATGGTGATAATATTAAGTGGGGGACAGATTAGAACTTAAGTTATGAGTTGATACTGAATACTAGACTAATTATTTTGTTGATCCTGATCTTCCTACTTCTCTTGCTTAAAGGGCAACAAAGCTTCATCTGTCAGTGTATTTAACTTCTAAATTGTTGTATTATACTCAGGTGACCGTTAAGGACCTTGGGCCTCTTGTTTAAGGATACATTAATATCTTAAATAGTAAAATAAGTACGAATATAAGATAACGGCTTTAACTGTTAAAAAATGACCATTTAGGGATGTTGTAAATATTCACAATGAAAAGTTGTTACTTCTAAAGAAGATGGGCGTGTTTGGCGTGTGATCTGCAGGAATAAGGCGTACGAAACATTTATAGTTTAAATGTCTACGATTTGGTCGGTTGACCACAGCTGGACATACTTTACAAAGTTACGCACATGGGAAAATGTTACATTTAGTTTGAAATACTTTGCCAAATTTAATATATCAGTCCGCTTATTTTAATAATTACTACATCTAAAACTTAGTAACGCTTCACATAAATAATAAACACATATAGGGTATAGTTGAATGCAATTACAAGTATATACTTGTATATATTAAAGTATCAGTAGGTTGGAAGAATTGCTTTCGCTTTCGTTGCAACAGAACCAGAATTTATCTATTTGAAAATAAATCAGTTCATAAAATTAAACTGACAAAAGAATTGATTGTTTGTTCTAAAAAAAAAAATATTAACGCTCCATGCGAGGATCGAACCAAAAATATTTCTTTTTCATTGCACTGTACGGGTAACACATACTACTGAGCTATCACCGCTACACACACTTTAAGGTATTTAAAGGGACAATGAAGCACCGCATTTACACTTTGGAATTTTTTGGGGAAAAGTTCATTTTTTATCGTCTCTGGGTCTTCTCTCCATTTTTTACAAATGTTTGTTAGTTTCTTTGAATTAAAATGCACACAAATAACGTTTCAAAATCATGGAGAGATGACCCAGAGATAGCAAATTTTTAGAAAAACGTGTCTAAAAATGTAACATTTTGTACCAAATGACTCATCTAGCCAACTTTCAAGTTCTTTTTTAGCAAAATAAAAATACAATATCGGGAAAATATTTCCCTTTCCTATTTTACAGGAACCCGATACATCAAAAGAACGTTAAAATTCCATGTGACAGATCAATGAAATTTTCACTTTTCAAGTGCGCCCAGATTCCTGCCGAATGCCAATCAAAAGCGCCCTCGTTCTTTATATGTTTTTAGTGTGATCTGTGGTTAAATGTTAAACAAAGTGAATGGGTATCTAGAATGAATGACATACCGTACAGATTAAACGACTTTGAAAGTTACATTAAATCAAAGCAAAGAGTTATTTGCCTGCATTTTACCCAATGTTACAGGGCTTTTTCTTCTCTATTACTTTTACGAATTTTAAGTTTCTCTGAGGAAAATATGGCAAATGTACTATGTTGAGAAAAAAAAAAAAGAAACTCACTTTGTACACCGCTAAATGATATTTTCTTAATCGGAAATACATATAAATTAATTCATTATCGTTAAAGCTTCGTTAAACTATCAATCACGTATCTTTCATTTTTATAGCAATGATTTATTGAGAAAGAAAGCCAGCTTATTGTTTGGGATACGATTCGACAGCAATAATTACGAAAAATTGAAAGACTACCTTGACACCATCAAACAAAAGGAAGATTTGGTAATTTTATTTTAATTTATCATAGAATGAACATAAACTATTCATTCAATTGAATTGTCACTGAAAGGTCTGGAAAGGACAATGATTGGCAGAACTTTGGCTTTCCGCCATCTTAAAGTTATTAAACATAAATGAATTGACATCCCTGTAAACATTGCATTGGCAATTTCAGACTGATATCAATTATCATTTCTGCAATTATTAAAAAAAACACCCTCGACATGGTAAAATATAAAAGTAGTGTACTAGTTCTAGGCACTGCATTCTATATCTTATGTTTCCAGAGGTACATGAATTGGCTCTGTTTTTATTTTTCATTTGTTTATAAGATTAATGAGTTTGACTATTTACCTTTTTTCATAATAACAGATAGCTGTATTTGATGTGAACAATGACGATCCTCTGATGCTCTCAAACATTGTGGGGGAGGCTGTCGTCAGTTGTTGGGCCATGGAGAAAATTCTTCACGAGGACCATCAAAGTAAAACTAAAACTCTGCTGCTCATATTTAGTGATAATTTACTATTCCACACACCTCATGCATATTGAAGTTTCCTAAATTGATTTTCAAAAAGCCAACTGATTTATTAACTATAATTTATCTTATTTTCATGAATAACTAAAGTGGTTTATTCTTAGGGTTACTTTTGGATCTAGAAAAATTATTCATTTTTTTGGTTTATTTTTTATTTTAATGTTTAATATTATCGAATTATAATAACATGTTTTTTTTTCATTTAGAAAAGACCGTTTAATTATATTCTTTCATTAGACTTTACAAGCCTGTAAATTCAAGTATTTTTTTTTTTATATAATTTCTTTAAGAAATTAAAATGAAATTTTTGTTTCCAGTTCTAATTTATACACGTTTGAACAAGTTTTAACTTGATAGTTTCTTTTCATTTGATTTAATTTATGACAAATGTATAAAATCGTAAGTACTTTAAACATTGAATAATTGTATAGTTGAACCAAATAGTCCTGAAACATTTGTAATAGACTTGGGATTTTGAAGTCTTAGTGCCACATACATGAGTGTATGGAAAACCACAACCTTTTTTTTTCCAAAAATCAATTTACGATGTTCATAAAAAAATATAAGAAAAAAAAACTGGCGTTAGTTTTCTCAGTAAATGAATATAATATTAGTTATCTCTTTTACCTTATTCGATTCAAATTCCTCCAGATCATATTAACCTTAGACCCAAGACAGCAATTCCTCATTCGCAAAAGAATGGTTTGGCTTTCACTGGATCTTCACTGGCCTGGAAACTATTACGTAGGAACTCTGTCAGACCCGAGGAGAACATCATGAATCAGTTACTGGGAGACTACAAGGAGGAATCAAGAGTTTATGTTTTAAATCCAAAGTATACGTCACCTGCCTCGCTGCCTCTGTATTTTTACTTTGGGTTCCAACTCTTACAGGAATCAGGATTATTGAAACAGAGCGGACATGTAAATAAATGTTATTTAATTCCGTACATGCAGCTTCACAAGTTATAAATGCATGACAGTCAAAACAGTTATCTGTTTGAGATAGCATATAATGTAGTGCCATTTTCTATTTTCATTGTCAGATTTTACTGTTTGAGGCACTTAAAGCTAACAGATGTGATTATGTAAGAGTTTTACTGGATCAAGGGGTAAAATTCAAGCTTAACAATTTGCCAGAATTGTATGAACAGGTATACGGATGCTATACATTTTGCTTAAGATAATGAATATTTTTGTAAACTAGTGCATGCATAAATTTTAGATAAAAAGTATTTTATTGTTTTCTCGAAAGTTATAGAAACAAATTATAGAGAACCTAATCAGCAGTCTTTTTAAGTAGTATTTGTATCTAGTTATCTCTATTTAATCGTGGTCGAGTGCTTGCTTAGTTTGTTCAAGGTTACATGTTGATTTTTCAGATTTTTCTTTGTTGAATGCTGATTATTTTCATTAGTTTCGACATTCTGTAAATTGTTCAGGATTAACTGCTGATAGCTTATTTAAATTTTTAGACTGTTTCCTGCAAGGAGGATTGTGAATTTAAAGATGAGGATTGTCTTCACATGGAATGGATTCTAAAGGTTCTTTTTATGTCATTTAATACTGTACAAAAGGAAATTTTTGCCCCTTTACACAAAGTGGGCAAATTTAAGACGAGGCAAATTCAAGGAAAGCAGTATAACTTTTAAACAAAATTGTGGCATGGCGAATTTAAAACGGAAAACAATGTTTGCAAGTGTGAAAGGGTTAACCTACTATACAGTATTTAATGGTCATATCTGTTGCTTTAATAAATTGTCATTTATTTGAAAATCGTCTATGTCTTAACAAACATTAAGGACAATTTGTCAAATACCAAATGTTAAGTAAGATGATGCTGATTGTTTATTATCAATGTAATTCTTTGGACATTTAAGAGATAAATGATATTAAATAATGCAATTATTCAAAATGGAAAGAAAGTTTTCTTGGTATTTGAAAATTTACTCTAAAGGTAACTTAAATTTATATTTCAGCAAATCCAAGAAACGCACGCAAAGAGACTTTGTAATAAACACAGGTCACTCCTACGAAAAATAAAGAAAGCAAAAGACAAACATAATGACAAAGACAGGGAAAAATATGAGGATCAAAGAGATAATTTACATGATTCCGTGGCAGAGGCAGCTAAAGGGTTATGTCGGAAGATACTAAGATATAAAAGTATTTTTTCTATGAGAAAAAATTAATCACATATCACATAACGGGAAAATGTTAAGATTAAAGGGAGAAGAAAAAGGCATATTCTTTGAGCAACTGCATTTTTCTATTTGAGGAAAAATATTTTTCTCTACTTTTCTCAATATTTAAATAAAAAACTAATCACAGGTAAGGAAGAGGAGTCATGGGATCAAAGCGGAAATGGAGATTTAAAAGATGCAAATATTTCTGATATTTTGTTGTGGGCAATATTTGCAAATAGAAGAGAATTGGCTGAAATTTGCTGGCTTCGAAGTGAGGACCATCTGTGTAAGTTGATATCTTAATATCAATATTCATAAATCTACTTTTTTCAAAGTTTTTAACTTAAATTCATTAATTCACAATAACTTATCAAATTTAGTGAAAACCATCTTTGTAAGTTGATATCAATATTCATAAAACCTCTTTTTGAAAGTTTTCGTTATCCAAGTTTTGAAAGTTGAGAATTTTGAATCATTAATTCTTAACGAACTTAACAAACTCAGTGACAGGATTGGTCTGTTCAGCTATACTGCAGAAGCTGTCTGTCAAAGCTGGAAATGTTAAAGAACAGATTCTATCAAATGATCTAGCGGAACATTCCAAGTAACTGTTTTAAGTCTTAAATACCTCAAACTGTGTCAATACCTTTTATTAAAGGCATCTTCAATTAGAATAAATATGTAATTTGGTTTATAAACAAAAGATTCAATAGAGAATTCAGGAAAAAATATATAAAACCCATAACTATTAGTAACAGTTATGAAATTTAATTTAAAGGTTGTTTGAGCAACGTTGCCTAGCAATAATGGACAGAATGTACGAGGAGAACACAAAGCAAGCCATAGAATTAATGGACGACGAGGCTTCAATATGGGGAATACATTCCAGTCCACTGACCTTCGCCTATGAAAATTTTATGTACGACGTAGTAGCTCACACTTGCTCCCAGAAAAACATGAATAAACAGTGGTACAACAACCTGGCTCCTGATCTGAAGCCATTCCTAAAAGTAAAACTTACAAAAATTATCTGTAAGAATAATTAAAACTTTTCCCAATGACAAAAAAAAATCATGAAAACTAAAACATTGATATTCTCTTTTTAGTCCGCTTTTCGAAGACCCAGGAAGTTCTTCACGGCTCCTCTGACAAAATATGTTTATAATTATGTAAGTTGATTTTTTTTTATATCTAAACTGAACGTGGAATTGTTCTAATGTTCAGAATTTTTCATCTTTTCAATAATAAAGATGACGAAATGTTGTATAAATATATATTATAAATACGACATCAACATTGATTTAACATTTTTAAGTAGAATCTGTAGAAGTCAGAAACGAATCGATGACGACAAAATTTGCACATATGCATATTATTAAAATTTTAATTTTTTGAAATTTTTTTCTGTAAGTGAAAGAAATTATTTCAAATTTAATTGCATCGGAAACGTGTTTTATTTCAGTAATAGATCGTTTTAATATCTTGATGCATAAATAGAGTGTATTTAAATTATCTTGAAGATAATGTTTTTCACCATGTTGGTGATGTACAGCGCCTTTGTTCTGACCAGCATAAGTACGAAATATTACGTACAGGACAGAGCCAGAGTTTTTGAGTACTATGTGTATTTCTGGGGCGCGGGTGATTTCATAGAGGAACTTATCAGCTGTTTTGTAAGTATAAATTCTCCATTTAATTTTGTGTTTTTCTCAATGTTGGTGATGGGTTGTTCTCACCAGTACAGGAGAGGTACTAATGTTACATCCTGAACAGAGATGATTCCTAGAGAAAGATATCAACTTATGCTGATTATATGATTTCAAAAGAAAATTAGAATAATTTAAAAGCATCTTTTTCGCTTTTTTCTTACTAAGACTATATCTTTTCTTTGAAGTTTTTGAAGAATTTTTATCTTGGAGGGGAAAGAAAGATAAATGTTATAAAATTCATCCTCAACATTGAATTGTAAGAATTGTAACCCTTTATTTTATCTTCTGTTTCTAAATTATTTCATCTTCATTCTTTTTCTAATTCTAGAGACAATTATAATTTGGTAAACATACATTCCACTTTAAAGGAGAATTGCCTCCCTCTCTTTCTGTCACAATGTGTGAATAAAGTTAACGCTGTTCATAATAGATATACGGATGGCGACATTACGCAACACAGTTAAGGCTACAAAAGGACACACCTAATTTGTACGGGAAATGTTAACTATGACATCATACAAAACTAACAATTCTTAAAAATACCACAAAATGAAATAATTTGCTATTTCAAACTGTAGGAATCCATCAAACTACATCAAAACTTACTATATCATGCTGTTTTGTCATTATTTAATTCCTAAATAGCAAGGTATAAACAAGTTATTGATCGCAATGCATTTGTTGAGATGACGTCATTTCGTAAAACTTGACGCAGTTCTTATGCAGTGAGAGGCGGATCAAATAATAATTTCACAAGGAAAAATATATCTTATAATTAAATGAAATATTTTTTGCAGATATTAAAGAGACCATTAACTTAGAATCAATGTCTTCTTTATGATTTTATTAATATATTTTCCATAATTTCCTATTTAATTGATACCGTTGTATATTTATATGCAAGTACATCGGAGGGTAATGTAAGGGTCTCAATAAATCGATCTAGTGCAAGGGCATACACTCAATAGATCATAGTAAGCTTTTTCAAATAAACTCTAGAAGTACATGTATTAAGGTATTTGAAAAGTGTTGCGATCCTGATGAAATCTTGAAAATGAATTAATTATATCTATATTTAATGCCGTTGACCAGCAAAAACTTGAGCATGCAGTCATACTAACATGATTTTAACAATGAAATAGCAGAATCTATATAGGATCGCAGGACTTTTCAGAATCGACAATGCGTGTTGAAAATATTTATAAACTGAACTTAGAATTTTAACTTGGTTATGCCCTTGCACTAGTGAAATTTATAGTTGACCTCAATACTGCAAGTATATGTGCTAAAATCACGTGACAAGTTTAAATATAAAATCTAGTCGTCTTCAATTCGTAGTTAATAACGACAATTACAAATGTCCGTAATAAATAAAGTTTACTTAAAAGAATCGCTATCCAGATTATGAATATATTTTTAAATCACAAAAATTGCCGATATTTCCATTGCGTACCTTAACTGTACTGCGTATTTATAGATTACCAACATACTTTACCTTCAAACAGGCCCAAAATATAAACTTTCATTGCTTTAATAATTATTGTTCCTTTTATGATTCTTTTCAAAAACTGATTACTTAATAATTTCCACAAGATTGAAGAAAAAAATGAATTCATTATTGGTCATTAGTCACTCATTTAGTACTAGACAGTTACATTTCGAAACAAAATGATTGTTATCAGTTCTACATCTAATGCCAGTTTTAACGAAAATTGAAATTTAAAAAAAAGTTGTAAATTGAAACCAAACCTTGCACAAACCTGAAATATTAAGTTGACGAACAGTTAACACGGGATTGTTAAAAATAAAATTGAAAAAAAAAAAAAACACATCAGAGGTGGCATCAGTATGGAGGAGTAGGTATCACCTGTCAAACGGTCATATCATTCGTTTAAAGATTTTGATGAAGTTAGCTTGAAGATAATGGACTTACAAGTTGTATTAAGAAGAAAGAATTCAACATTTGTCATAACAAAGGTTGTACATGTACTTGCCAACAAGGCTATTTTAGCGGCAATTTTGTTTGCAAAATGTTGACATTAATCGAGGATGTTATCAACTTAAATGTCATGTACCTGTTATGAAATTAAAACATATGTGTATATATATATTTATTTATTTATTTGCAAACTGTCTGTTTTCTACCACTATGAGCCTGCACTCCCCAGTTGCGTTCATAGCCCTATGAACGCAATTTCGTCAGCTATTAGAGCAGTTCGTCTCTTACACTGGCGCAGTACAATCTACTTCATTTATATAACACATTCAGAAGTATATGTATGAAATATTGTTCAAAAGGGTTAAATTTTAATTTTTTAATGATATCCTCCCGGAAAAAATAAATTTATAGATGATTAAAATTGTTGATTTATGTGTATTCAATTTCTTAAAAATAGTCGACGTGTGTAATCGTATGAAAAATTTTACTAAATTTGAAAAGAGCTCTATATCTTATATTATTTGTTCATTGTAACGCATATAGTTATTAAGGACGATACCTCTTCACGCTAAGGTGTTTTACATTCCGAAAAAGCAAAATTTCTGTAAAAGAGCACTATTTCAAGAAGGATTTTAATTTTGAAAAAAATTTTAAGAACTTAAGAAAACCATTTATAAAAGAAATTCAATATAGAAACATTCTCTCTCTTCATAATATTGTTATTAATAATTTTTCTTAGAAAGTTTCGATGACGTCATGACGCGTCACAACAGTATAAAAACAAAAATTTACGATAATTTGAAGACGGTGCGGTTAGCATCCAGATAATAAGCAAATACAATGTACATGTTCCATGTATATTGTATGTGATTTATTGGAGATAAACAGAATGCAAATATTATTTTAAATATGCCAGCAGAGCAGTTGCTATTCATAATGTCATGTTCACTGAATCATCGTTGTTTATTTTTTAAACGAATAGCTGGCATATTGCTGGCATATGATGCGCTAGCGCATTATTGAAAATATGCCAACAGAAGAATAGTTTTCTTACGTTCTTTGTAACTATATGCTTAAAAATGAACAAATGAATTAAAGATACAGAGCTCTATTTAATTTGTAGACAGTTTTATTACACAATTAAACACGTTGACTAAAATTTATAATTTTTAAAAAATCAAATGCAGAAAAAAGAAAGAAGAGGAATATTTAAGAAATATACAACGTTATTCAGTGAACATGGCGTTATACTCTCTGTTTTCTTCCACGACATTGTATGAGTCTACACTCACCAGTTGCGTTCACAGCACTATGAACGCAACTTCTGCTGCTATAAGTGCAGTTCGTTTTCTTACACTGGCGCAGTACAATCTACTCTTTTTATATACCACATTTAGAAGTAAATATGTAAAATGTCGTCTTCTTTCTGTATACATGACGATTGTGAGGTTAATAAATAGAATCATTATCTGCATTCTTAAAGTCTGTGTATCAAATTTTTTTTTTTTTTTTGATTTAGGGATGTCTGGAATCAAGAGGCAGATCACATCGAGGTTACTACTCACGAATGAAGAGATATCTGTATGATTTCTGGAATGTTGTCGACTTGTTGTCGTACGCCTTATTAATCACAGCTTTATTTGTACGTCATTTCCATCCCTCAGAGACCTTCACAATAGCCAGGAGAATGTTTTCTCTCTCTCTTCTTGTTATGTATTTGAGGTTCCTTGAAGTATTTCTTATTCACAGGAGAATGGGACCAACGCTTATCATGATAAAGGAAATGGTAAGGGGCTTGATTGATTGATTATATATTGTTAAACGTCCCGATCGAGAGTTTTTAACTCATAAAGAGACTTCACCATTTAGCAGTAAAAACTTCAAATATGACCTTAACTCGGTACTCAGGACCATTAAGCTGTGAAGTTTCTTTATCGTGCCAACGTCTGCCCAGCCTTAACACGGAGCCTCGGTTTTTAAGGTCTTATTCGGAAGATCCGCAACTTTCACTTCAAATTGCCGATGGTTTGGCTAAGGAATATTTGCTACCTATTTTTCATCGAAATGGATTGATTGATTGTTGTTTAACGTCCCTCTCAAGAATTTTTCACATATAGAGACTCCACTACTTGCTGGTGAAGAGGTGCAAATTTTTTTACCTATACTTGGCAGTCAGGGCCATTGAGCAGTAAGGGATCTTTTTCGTGCGACTCAAGAGCAAACGCTCTAACCACTGCGCCACGCAGGCGACCATCGAAATGGAACACCATGCTTTGTAACCGAATGAAAGTAGGAATTATCAGAATATTTTTTCCAGGACAGATTAAGCTTTTTACATTGAAAGTTTGGGGATATCTTCATTTCATCGACAAGTTTTTATTAATTATGTTACTGAAAAGGGAATGTGTTCTACATTTAAAAGAAACACCATACTAACATTGCGGGGGAAAATGCATAGTAACATCCTCTCAGTTACAGTTTGTCTTTAGTCCTTTTTTATTCGCCTTATTAGTACTTCAGCTTAGCTAGTTCTGTCCTTGGCAACGTTTTTATGCCCTCGAATCGAAGATTCGAGGGTATATAGTTTTTGCCCTGTCCGTCCTTCTGTTTGTCTGTCTGTCTAGCTGTCTGTCTGTTTATCTGTCTGCCCACAAGAACTTTAATATTGTCCTTTTGATTGATTGGAGCTATGGCTTTCGTATTTCACATGTGTATTCCTTTTGACAAGGTCTTTCTTCGGGTACCATCACATTTGACCTTTTGACCTTGACCTTGGAGTTTGAACTAGTTTTACAAAATTTTACCCAACTTTAACCTTGGCCATAACTTTTGAACGGTTAGTGCTAGGGCTTTCTTACTTCACATGTGCAATCCCTTTGACAAGACCTTCCTTTGGATACCAACAATTTTGACCCTTTGACCTTGACCTTGGAGTTTGACCTACATTTGAAAAACTTTAACCTTGGCCATAACTTTTGAACGGTTGGTGCTAGGGCTTTCATACTTTACATATTTAATCCTTGTGACAAGGCCTTACTTTGGATACCAAGAACTTTGACCTTTTGACCTTGACCTTGAAGTTGACCAACTTTTGGAAAACTTTAACCTTGGCCATAACTTTTGAACGGTTTGTGCTATGGCTTTCATACTTCACATATGTAATCCTTGTGACAAGACCTTACTTTGGATACTAAAAACTTTGACCTTTTGACCTTGACTTTGGAGTTTGACCTACTTTTGATAAACTTAAAACTTGGCCATATCTTTTGAACGTTTGATGCTAGTGCTTTCATGTTTCACATGTGTATTTATTTTGAGAAGGCATTTCCTTTGGAACCATTAATTTTGACCATTTGGCCTTGATGATTGACTTACGTTTGAAAATTTTTAACCTTTTCCATGTCTTTTTAAAGATTGCTGCTAGGGCTTTCATATTTCACGGGTATATTCCTCGAGACAAGAACTTACTTTGGGTACCAACATATTTGATTTGCATTTGAGAAAGTTTAATCTTCGCTATAAGTTGCCATACGGGGGCATCAGTGTTTCACAAACACATCTTGTTTTTTGGGGTTTTAGAGACATGTACAAAATTGAACGAAATTTGTATTCTCGACTTCTTTCAGTTGAAAGACCTGTTTAGTTTCCTGTTCTTGGCGATGTTTGTTGTTTTTGGAGTTGGTATTTACTACCATGCGAATCTATGGCCGGACCATCAGACAATCTGGGACGGTGATTGGACAAACTGGAGAATTTGGACAATAATCTATTACCCTTACTGGCAGTTATACGGAGAATCATTTAGTGAATTTCTTCAAGGTGATGTTAACTTTGTACCAATGGTTGAACAATATGCCACAAATATTACCTTTATTTTTTTAACAAAATAATACATGTACCTACAAGTACACTTAGTAATATCATTTGCGTGTTATAACAATCAAGCTTGTTTCTTTCACACAAACATAAACCTAAAAGGAACATATGTGCACCATCCTTAAATTTCAATGTAAGATGGAAAATAAGAAGACCTGCTCTTTTTTAAATTTCAAGTACACAAAATAAGAAATAAAAGTATCACTTAATGATAATCTTTCAGAATATAATAGAAAAGGTTATAGAATCAATTCGTCTTGCTTTATTATATAATTGCCAGATTGTGTGATCAAACCAAATAAAAATATATTTATATTATACAATGTGTATGTGCATAAACAATGTATTTGATGTTTAAAAAATATCATCACTTAGATTAACTAATAATAAAATTGCTTTCTGACTCTACCTTATTTACGCCTATTATGCATGCAATTCTATATTTATATGCAACGTCAACAGTAAGCAAGTATAAGAAGAACACCGTATATTTTCCTCAATAGATGTGTGTATTGCTTTAATTGTAGGTGAGGATCTCTCAGACTGTACAAATATAACCTCTGTTTGGGAGGCGGATCCATCTATTGACCGATGTCCACAGGAGGACTGGACTGTGTTGGCTATCTCAGCATTCTACATGCTTTTCTCAAACCTGCTATTGGTTAACCTAGTAATTGCCATGTTCAGGTACAGTAGTGATATATATTCATGCAGTTGGAAGATATAATTTACTTGAATACAGTCTAGTTATGTTAATAGAACTTAACTTGGTCTTGGAGTACTTTGTCTATTCAGGATCTTCGTTTTCAATATTTTTCATGCATACGATGAAATGTTATGATTTTTTTTTATGATTCGAGTATGTCGTTTTCTTTTTTACTGTATCATTTACATTCTTGTCATTTTATATTTTTATTTCTTTTCAATATTTGTCAATTTGAATAGAATATCTCACATCTTTTCTCAGCTACACATTTGAAAGAGTGCAGAATAATGCAGAGAAACTATGGCGTTTTGAGAGATACACGGTAATTAACGACTATGATTGGAGGATTCCGTCTCCTATCAATCTTATTTTTCTGCCCTATCGTTTCTGTTGTTGTCCAGGGAGACAAGGATGTTGCCTACATAGATGCAGGGGTATGTCCACCTTAGATATATCTTCTTTAGGTTTACATTTTTCAATTACTGTATATTTCATTATGTTTTGATTGAACTTACTTGTAAATGCAAATACTATAACTTCAATTGTATTAAGATATTTTTTTTGGCTAGAATGTTGCTGTGAGGAAGAGGTAAAAGTGGAAAAAAATGAAACAGAAAAGTCCGTGAAATTCCGTAAAAATTTCCAAAAGATAACAGCCTTCAAAATACGGAATAATATGTAGGAGGAACTCAGTCTAATTCAAAGTCACAAGAATACAAATTAGGCATGGCAATGTGATATTAGAAAATTGATAATGAAAATGTTGTATGTTTGCAAAAATGTCGTCCAATTGTATGAAAATGTATTGTGACAAGAGAAAAGGAATATTTCCAATTTCATGTTTATTTATTTTTTTACAAAACCTATATTAAACATTCCGTCCTACGAAAATTTTACTCACTTCATATACTTTCACGAATTTCAACTGCAATCTAAATGTTATATTTTCAAAACATTGTGTTGCTTTAATAACAAAACTGAATAAAGGTTACTCAAATGACCAGCTGTTGTGTGTTTGAGCATCGGAAATCACAATATTGGAATATTTTATATCTAGATTTTACAACTTTTATCCAATGTTGGCAACGTATTCTATACACATGTATAAGTAGAATTAACTTTGAAACTTTTGAACAAACTCTGTTTGTTGGAAAAAAGTATAGCCTATGTAGCAAAAAAAAAAAAAGACTAAATCTCAAACTAATTGTAACATCTATTGAAAAGTCTAGAAACATCTATGGGGAAAAGGATTATTTTGGCAAAAATTAAATAGGTGTGGAAAGTACTATAAAAGTGAAATAACTTTATAAATTAATCCCATTTTACCCTAGGATGTTGAAAAGATGGTTGTTTATTAGATAATCTATTTAGATTTTTAAAAAAAAAATTGATATGAAATGAATGTTTGATTTAAATTCTGCATCTATTTCATGATGGGATGTAAATTTCAAATAACTACATAATTATCATAATGGATAAAATGTCGGTTATCTGATATTGATGTTTTTCTGAGAATCCACTTTGAAAAAAACATTTCATCTTATTATCTTATCTTGTTTTTCATACAGTTAAGTATTCTATAGTCAATAGAACATCCAAAGACGAAACAAATAATAGCAGACTCTGTGGTGTCTTTTATTTCGAGTTCCAGGGATATATCGAGTTTACTTGTGAATGGAAGTAATTTTTGATAATTGATAAATTGGTGTTGAAATATCTGAATGTTGAGTTGAAGACCACAGAAAGTGCCTTCTTCTCATATTAAAGTTTTCGAATGAATTCTGTTTCATGGGAATATAAAAAAACAGGTCGGCTAATAAGGAAGCACAATTATTGCCCATCGTAATTCCAACAGGTTGTTGGAGGACCTTGTCTGAAAGAATACATAAATGTTGTCAATGAGGAACTCCAGCATCCTTTTAATATTAACTTCAGAGTACTTATTTGTAGAATCAGAGTGATTTTTTTTACAAAGTCATTTTGTACATGACCAATCCCAAGATTTGAGAATTTCCGACTTCCATTTTTATTGATTGATTAATTGTATGTTGTTTTACGTCCCGTTCGAGAATTTTTCACTCATATATAGACGTCACCATATACAGGTGAAGGGCTTCAAATTTTGACCTTTACTCGGCATTCAGGACCATTGAGCAGTGAGGGATCTTTATCGTGCCAATGCCTGCCGTGACACGGGGCCTCAGTTTTTAAGGTCTCATCCGAAGGACCCGCAACTTTCACTTTCAAAATTATTTTTTTTAAAAACATTCTGATTGCACACACAAGTACTCTGAAGTTGACATTAAAAAGTTGCTTGAGTTTCTGATTGACAATATCTATGTGCGCAGCTCTGTTAAGGCTGCATAAAGGGGGCGGGGCCTAATTTTTACGGGAAAACTTTACTGTGAAATCACACAAATATAGCAATTCCTCACAATAACAGAAAATGAAATAATTTGTGAATCTAAACTGCATAAGAGTAATGAACTACATCAAAACTTACCACTGCATTCATTTTTGTCGCTAATTAAATCCCACACAGCAAGATATAAACAAGTCACTGATCGCAATGCACTTGTCGACATGACGTCATCATGGTAAAGTTTGACGCATTTTATGTGCAGTGAGAGGCGGATCAAGTAATTTTCTCACAGTGAAAAATGCATTTTATTATTAAACAAAATATTATTTGCAAATCTTAGGTAGACCATTAATACAAATCTGAAACGTTTGTTTAGTGCCATTATTTAAAAAAAATATCGACAGAATGTATTGAATTAATTCTACCGTGTTTTTGTCTACTGGGTGTGCCTGTTTCACGCCGAGGTGCCTCATTAAATCGCCTTTTCGCAAGGGCATACACTTAATAGATCTTGACCATTTTTTGAATACACATAACGGACGTATTCCTTAACTTGAAAAGTGCTGCTGCTTTCCTGAAATCGATAGCATAATTTAATAAATAAATAAAATACTTGGTAAAGGTCACACATATTTCGACATTATCCAGCTAACTTGAAGTTTAAACTAATAAAATGCGAATTCTATTTAAAGCAGCAGCACTTTCCAAAAACTACAAGTTATGTAGAAACAATCTATTACATTAATTTTTAATTTTAACTAGGGTATGCCCTTGCGATATTGAAATTTGTTTGTGACCTACATACAGTACACATTACATGCATTTATCATGTGACTATCAAATAACGTGACCAAACCAAAGTCAGTACAGAGCAGGGTATACAATGTTATTTCAAAGAAAGTTAAAGTCATAAGATAATATAGAACCTTTACAAAAATAAATTCAGTTCAGGTATGTATTTTTGCACGTTTATATTCTGTTGATTTCTTCGAAGTACGCCTTAACAGTGCTGCGTGGTTTTTGGAGACCAGGTCTTATAACAATCTATTGGAATTTCCATGGGTACCAATTGCGCCCCGTTATTAGCAGACCTTTTTTGTATTCATATGAAGCAGAGTTTGTCCAAAATCTTGTACTTGAAAAGAAGAAAACACTTGCTGTAGCCCTCAACTCGACATTTAGATATATCGACGATGTATTGTCAATTAACAATGGCTATTTCCATTCTTATGTCGATACGATATATCCTGGTGAGCTTGAGATAAAAGATATCACAGAGTCTGACACATCTGTTTCATATTTGGATATTTTACTTGTAAAGACGTTAATGGTAATCTAACAACCAAGCGTTATGATAAACGTGATGACTTTAACTTTTCAATCGTCAACTTCCCTTACTTATGCAGCAATATACCTTCATAACCTGCATACGGGGTATATATCTCTCAGTTGATACGATACGCAAGAGCATGCTCTACGTATATACAATTTCTAAAACGAGGTAAATTATTGACAAACAAGTTCATGAAACAAGAATATCAGCTGTCTCGTTTAAAGCCATCATTTCGTAAGTTCTATGGTCGATACAATGACCTTGTCAGCAAATACAATTTATCATTGGGTCAAATGCTGACTGTCGTTTTTCATACTATTTGTTAGGCCATTATTTACACATTGAATTGTCGACGGATTTTTCCGTTATTTCCCGATCATGACAAGGAGCACACGGCGGGTGTGACCGGTCGGCAGGGGATGCTCACTCCTCCATGGCACCTGATCCCACCTCTGATGTTTAGAGGTCCGTGTTTGCCCTGCTCCTATTTTGTATTGTTTAATGGACTTTTGAGCTTGAATACTGTTCGTTATCTCCATATATTTCATTTCACTTCAAAATGCCGGGCGCATGGCGAAGGAACAGTTGCTTCCCATCTTTTATCGACTTAGGTCAGTAACGCCCGAGATTCGAACTCACGGCCTCCCGATCACGGAGCGAGCGCTCTACTGACTGAGCTACTGTGAACGGTCCCATTTTTATTGAAGAAGCAGTTATCTATGATATCAAAAAACCTAGTTTTTCACTGAATATATATATATATATATATATATATATATATATATATATATATATATATATATATATATATATATATATATATATATATATATATATATATATATATATATATTCTAGTGTCAGAAATTGAATCCCTATTCTGGCTCTACCATTTCTCAAGAGGTCTTGATTAAAAAAACAACTGAGGGATACTTGTATGTTCGTACGACTGAAAATGACCTTCCTGTTCTTCGGAAGTCATTTTTGTTTAAATATATTTTTTTCTTAGAAAAAGTGTTTTTTCAAAAACACCTCTATCCTTTCGATCTAACTTATTAAGGACTTAAGAGGCTCGTCACATTGAGGACAAAACGATCCTTATATGACTTCCAGAAAGTAAATGATACACCTTACTCTTCAGAACGTATTTATACGCCCCTCCCATCCCTCCACAACCGTCACAGTAGCCTCTTTCGCTTCTTATCATGTATTTGAGGTTTCTAAAATATTCCTCATTAACAGAAGAATGAGATCATCGCTCATCTTGATAAAAAATCATCTTAGGAGATGTAAAGTATCTGAATGTTAGAAAATGAGCACTGGATTAAATCCTAATTGGGTTCATAACTCGGTCACCTGCGTAATTCTTCATCATTCTATCGCCATAGTGTTATTTATTGATTGCGTCAGTGAAAAAAAAATGATATAGATCCCACATTCTCAATGAAAAAAAAAATCGCCTTCTTCTTTTTAGTAACATTTTCTCCTTATTCCCCATTATCTGCCATGACAGTCCGCTTAGATGATTCAGTCAAAGGCAAAATTAAATGAATTCTGGGGAAAATATTATTTCCTTTAACTTTTAGATAAAAATAATTGTCTAGTTTTTTTTAATTAAAAAGGATAATAAGTTAGTGTATGTTTTTTTTTATTAAGTTATACAAATATTAAAATTCTTGTTTCTCATTTAGCAAAGACGTTTCAAATCCCATGTTGTTATCGATGTTTTAGTTTAAGGAGTAGGTATTCACTAAACATGCATGCTGTATTTATGAGCTTTTCTTTATATGCGCGAGCATGTTAAGGCTAGACGCAGATATTCTTCTTGCCTATACAACATGACGTCATAGTAAGCTGTATGACTTAGCTTTAGAGATAAGGATTTCTTAACGAGGCCGAGTCTAATTCGAGTGCGCATGACTTTGCACAGCTTTTTAATTTCATGCAGTCATATTTGCGACGTTACACCTTTCCCAAATATTGTGATTTTAATACAAAACTAACATTATCTGTAACACCTATGGGTCAAAAATTCTGCTTTTACGACAATAATTAGGAAAAAACGCTGAAATGGCCCTAATTACTGTTTTCCGATTTAAAGAGCAATGCATGACGCTGTAAAATGACATGACTCGCTTGTATATTTAAGACGTCCGTGGATATTTTACAAAAAAACTGTTGACAGTACATCTAAAGAAAC